CAGCACGAACTCAGCGAGCGGTGTCTGTGGAGGCGGGCAGCATGCAAACCTGACGTGGGAATGGGCGTAGCCGATACAGCCTCTCAGACAGCGATTGGTTGACGCGTAAGGCACCGCGCCGCTTTGCACTAGCTCGCTCCTTTATCAACGCAGATTCAAGAGATAAGCGCGCGCCACGCGCACAGGTTGCAAAGACGGATTCGACTGACAAGCGCGCTCACAGATGGGAAAGGCGACCCTGGATTACGAGCCTGGAAACTCGCTCGCCGCCGCTCGATGACTCTACTGTGCGTGGGAACGACCTGAACAAAGGCAGTTGCTGGTGAACCGCAGAATGAGAGAACAGCCGTGCCGGCGTTTTTCTCCGGTAGACGTAGTTAAATGCGGGCTTCTTGACCCCAATTTATGCTTTCTTACGACCGACTCTCTACAGAAAAATTAAAACAACGTCAACTGAAAATTTGCCGTTGTATTAATCAAATAAAATAAAATAAAATAAATTAAATTAAATTAGACGCTGTATTAAATTAGTGTGTCCGTGTGATTTTGTGATCTCTAATTTTCGTTCTGATCTGTATCGTTATTTGATCACAAACTAATAAACGAATGCTGGCCGCCTGCACACTCCACGGGCAGCGTTCGCTGATTTGGTGCTCCATGTGTTTTTGGCAGATAATTCGGCAGAATTTCGTCTACGCGGTTGGCTGTCTTTGCCGATTTATTTGAACTTTAAACTTCAAAAACGTAAAACCCAGAAGAGCAAGTACTGCTTGAACTCTGATCGTTGCTCACTTTTTGTGATGAAATGGTGATGAAACGATGAAACGCAGAAAGTGATGAAATGGTTGCGCGTGCACTACCCGTCGCGCTGGACTGCGGAGAACTTCCGGGCCGTCCTGCCGGAGCTGCGATGGGATCTAATTGCCGACATGCTGCCACCGGGCCTCCTCATCGCCACCGAGCCGCTGCGCCATGTCTTATTGGATCTGCAGACGCGCCTCTTCCCGCCCGACGCCGTCCGCTTGACCGCCGCGCCACGGGAACGTCACTTCGCCGTGGTGGCCTGCCTCTTCTCCGCCGACCAGCACCAAGCCAGTCTGCGACTGTATGACGCGCGCCGGAACACCCTGCACCGCATCCCGTTGCCGGCGGAACTGCAAACGTGGAATGTCGTGAAGGAGATGGGTGCGGTGGTGGACAATCGGGTTTGGTTCCGGGTGCGCGGCGCGGAGATCCGAACGTACGCCCCGAGGATGATGGTGAATGAGGATGCTGGTGGTGGTCGCGTGACGACGGAGATGAAATTCATGTTCAAGGAGCAGCCTCAACGGTCTGGTCTACGGCTGGAACATCGCCAGCAAGCGCAGCACTGTTTCTTGCAGCTTCACGTTCGATCCTTACGCATGTACGACGCGGTGACGAACCAGTGGACTGAGCTGCCGGCAATGCTGCATCCGCGCTGCAGTTTCGCCGCCAAAGTCATCAACGGCTGGCTGTACGTGACTGGCGGGGTGGGTCCTGAGTCGACAGTTCTTCGCAGCTGCGAACGGCTGCAGTTAGGCGTGGCCGGCGCACAATGGCAGCCAGTACCCGACCTGGCCGTGCGGCGCTACGGACACTGCATGTTCGCCTTGAACGACCAGCTGTTCGTGTGCGGTGGTTGCGGTCGCCTCGGGATGCCGCTGACTTACTGGGAGAAGTATAACGCTGCGTCGAATTTGAGGAGTATTGTGCGCCCGCTGGAGGATCCTCTAGGAGCTTCATCCCCGGTGTCGGCCTGTGTGACGATCAACGTCCACCACAAAATGCTGCGATGTTGAAAGCGACAGTTCACTTTTGGTATGGTTGTTAGCTATCGCTGCATTTTCGGATGTTTTAGTACAGGACCAAGTTTGTGGGCTTCCGTTGGCATTTTACAATTTGCGACTTGATTAATATTCTGTTTTCCCCCGGACCGTCAGGACAGTAGATAGGTTCACTAAAACGATAATGGTACAGTAAAATAGATGGCTTACAGTAACCAGTACGTCCACTTGGTTTTTTTAGTTTTGCTCGGTGTCTTCGATGATTGATTTCTACATGCGTTGGTGTGTTCTTGTAAATTTACTCTTTTGTTGGCTTCCTGCTTGGTTTGGGTTTCTACCTGTGTAGTTCCGTATAAACTTTCCGGCTTAAATATCATTGATAATACACTTCAAATAAGTTCAAGCAGTTATGTAGTTTCCGAACGTATCGGCGCGCATATCCGAACACGGAACAGAGCGAACATGTACTTTGACATCAATGGAGCCGACGCCTAGTGCGGACGGTTCTGGGGATTTCTCTGTCCCTTAATATCGTGTAAATACAGTACATGCACAAATATTGCAGCTGCTGCCAAATCCCAATCCTGAGGAACCGTTATAGAAAACTGCATAATTTGCATAACCTATCCTATCACCTACACCACCAATAAGGACGGAAAATGCCCTGACGGCACGACGCTATTCCTGTCCTTCAATGTAGATCAAATAGTTTGGTACGTAACGAATTGGTGTACGATCGCAGGTATAAAGACACCGGAAGTTTGGCTCGGTCGACCGAAAGTTCCAGATGTTAGTCGTCCTTTTTGGAAATAGGCATTTTTATCCTGAAGTGGTTGAATGCTTGGAGTTTTTGGCTCGGCTTTATATGAAGTAATTTTATCCGTTTCATGGGTCGTAAATTCGGGATGTAACTGGAGAAGCTGCGTTCAAGCCTTGCTGTTATTGAAAGAAATCCTACGTCCAGTTATCACTGCCACTTACACATCTTATTTTTCTACGGCGAACACTTTTCGTACGGGCAAAACCCCATATGCTGCTGTAGAAGACTTGTGCTGGTCACGGTGAGCAACCGATCGGTGTCAATGTCATCACATGTGTAATATCTATTAATCAAAATATGTTGTTGATCTCACGAATTCGAGTTTTCGTTTCCCCTTGGGTTTTTGATGTACACCACCAAAGCCCAGCAAACCGTCTCCATCTTATAGAATAAAGGTAAAGTAGTTCTAAAATAAGAAATGGCGTCTTTAACGGGCATTTTGGTGTAGAAGTAATGTTGGGGGTTGAAATTCTTCTGTGCAGCACGCAGACGATGCGAAAGTCAACTACACTATATGTAAAATACACCGCGTACGTGTGTATGACGGACTGATTCTATTAAATTCTTGCAGTTTTGCATTAAGCGGACGCAGTCAAGTCAAGGAAGCTGGAGGAACGAACGCCGTACGGTCGCTCACTTGACTCACGAGAATAATGTGTCACCTGCTGCCCATCGACCACTCCTTCCCTACTCTAGCGTTCTACCGGGCCAACCGATTCACAACTTCCGCTGGATATACCGAAGTGCAGTTGGGACATCTGACGTCTATGTTTGGGTTGCGTGGACTGACCACGGGAACACAGCATGCAGGACTGCATCGTATCCGGCAGTCCACATTGCCGGAAACCATGCTGTCCCGTATGCCTTGTACACTGATCGCCCTTTACTTAATAATAGTCTCAAGGTAACACTTTCGAAATGAGTCTCAGGAGTGCGTAACTGTACAGCAGGGCTAATAGAAACGACTGTTTGCAATTGTGCAGCCGCTAGAGTAGTGCGTAGTGCGTACAATTTTTGGTAGACATAAATTCAAAACCGAGAATGTTTCTAACTAAAGATGTGTAACTTGTTTTTTTAAATTCTGATCCAAACAAAAACGGTTTTACGAAATACCTACTCGAAAAGACAACCCAGCTGAAATGCACCGAAATCGGGAGTTCCAGTCTTGCAAGTAATCATCGCATGTTTTCGTTTGCCCCTGGGTGGTACTTGACTTTTTCTCTGTTTGGTCGCCACCGCCCCGGATCACAAATCTTTTGCACAGCCACTCGAACGCACTGATCCATCAACAAGTATGGAAGCTCGGAATGACACACTAGAATTACACTGGGTGTTGCATTCCCAGCTTCCGTACTTGTTGACGTCCGCAACGAGGAACTGGACGAGGACGACGGCCGGCTTCTCTGAGACGCTTTTCAGTTCTACCCGGTAGGAATCCAGACTATAAAAATACAAACCGGCGGTTCGGACACCGGTCGCACGATATTTTCTGCATGGGTCTACATTTGACATCTTGATAAATTTTTATAATTTCGTGTATTGCCTTGATGGCACCAGTAAAAATCCGTAACAGTGGTGCATGTATGTGCAGCATTGGTGCATTTCACCGTAGGTTTTGCGCACCGCGAACCTGACCTTTAAGTACTTTAACATCAGTCGTCGTCCCATTGCCGCTTGATACGTTGCGCCACGGGCAGACTGAGACTTATGCCGCATACACTCATGGTGCAGATATACTAATACATATGTGACTACACAGATATACTCATACATATGAAGCGAACCCGATCATGGACAAAATGGGGAAGCGAAAATCGGACGACGGTGGCAACAGCACCGCCAAGAGCATCAAGTCCGACCCCAGCTATAGATGTTACGGATGAAGATAACCAGTTTACGGCATCTGTATCCGTACCAAATTTCGTGGCATACATTTGTTTCAAAGTTTCACAATTTTTATTATAAAATATATACGAATCTTATGAACCTAACGTTTTATGAAATTAAGAATCGTAAGAAGCTCAAGAATCCTAAGAGACCAAAGAAACCTAGGAAACCAAAGAAAATCTAAGAAAAACCTAAGAAAACCTAAGAAATCCAAAAATCTAAGAAACCTTATATCATGCAAGAGTTGTTTAGTATGTTTAGATGTTTAATTTAGAGAGATTTTTAGTAACCTAAGAATCGTGCAAGAGATAATTAGTATTAATATAATAAACACAAAATATGTAAAATAAATGATTCTTGTGCAGAGTGTATGCACGCATGGCTGCTTAGCAACACCGGTCGCCTACCCAAATTTCCCGTTCGCCTGTATATCAGTCCTGACCGTACCGGGCTTTCCCCGTAACATTATTGTCATCGTTTCCGACGTGCCGTTTCTCCTGCCGCGACATTTCTCTAACCATGCCGTATTCGATTTCCTCTCACACTATTATAAAAGCGCGCACATGATTTTCATAGAATTCCCCAAGTGATCGAAGTGACTATTTCCATAAAGTGAAGTGATTATGTTCATAGCGACCTTTAGGCAGTCCCTCCCTAACCATGCTCACCGTGCCAGTTACCGTGTTGCTGATCATCATCGTTGGTCTGGTTAACAGTACGTATCACAGTTTTTCGCTTAATTGTAATAATTATTATGGTTGTTTGTGTGTCTTGAATTCTTTTCGATAAGGGCGCTGACTGGTTACCCTTGCCGTTGTTGCGGTGTTGAAAGCCGTCTGGCTTCGATTTTTGCGTGTGTGTTTTTTTTTTAAAAAGGGTCAAGGTGTGGGTGAATTGTTTGCTGACCACTGTTTCAATAGTCTGCGACTCAAAGCTATTATATTTTTATTTTGTATCGGTAATTGTGCCTTACTTTATTATTAAGTATTTCGGCAATAAAAAAAACCGATAAAACAATTAATTAACAAAATGCAAATAAATTCTTGTGGTAAATATTGTAATTACACTGTTGTGTTAGGCAATTATTACCGTGCTTTTCAGCTTTTACATTGAAACACCGTCAACATCACTTGAAACTCGGTGCTGCATAATTAATGGCTTGCATTCGTCAATAATTACAACGCCATAAAAATTTGGTAACTGTATTTTGTTATATGTACCTTAAATACCGTAAATTCCGAATTAAACGCCCTGGTTTTTATTTTTTCGAGAGCTTCGGGAGGGGGACATCGTAATTTTGAAGGGGGACATGTAACTTTGAAGCAGACATCGAAAACCTTCAAATAAATGTTAATTTGTCCCTATTGCGCATGTTTGGCACTCGGCACCTGTTGTGATGCCGCTGTTGTTTTGTTAAAGGAGATCGGTCAGAAATTCGTATTAGAACAAGCGAAAGCCATGACAATAATAAAAATTCTTGTAAAAAGATCTACACGGAATTAGAAATTCTCATATCGTATAAGACAAGGACAATGAATTTTGTCCAACAGGTCAGAGCAGTACCAGTCCGGCCTCGGCCAATCCTAAGCCGACAACGAGCGGTCTAGGCGGTGACCTCAGCGACAGCCCCATCTCCGACACCTTCCCCTACCCCGTTGTTGCCGATAACGTTATCGGCCAGCCGAATTTCGCCCAAGGAAATCGGGAAATTGGTTCACTGGGCGCCGACGTCTTCCTACCAGCCCGAAAAATGTCTCCGCCCGACGATAGCCCTCAAGGCCAAGGGCAGGGTACGTTCCGTGCAGAGGGAGGCCAGTCGAACTACACCCGCGTGCCGCTGAATCAGGCCCAGATCCCAGCGTCAGTCCCGCTAAAAAAATCCCGCCTCACCTACCGGCAGCAGTGGCAGGTCGCGGGTGACCACACCCTAATGGAAAGACACCAATTCCGCTATAATAAGACAAAGGTCACACATGCCGTTAGCGATGCAGCCTTGTACCATTTATTGTCATTACTTGAATCTTGTCAGTACGTATATAGTTGCAAACTAAATGTAATTATTAGCTAAATAAAACAAACACAAAAAAGCGAAATAAAAATTATAAAATAAATTTCCTAATTTTTTATATTAACAATAATTTATATATTAACAGAAAGTTATATAATAACAAAAAATTTATCTGCGTGTTGGGAACTTTTATTTTTGTATTAATTGAAAGGCAGTTTTCATTTACGTGTTTAGCAGGCGCGGCTATTTGTATACTTATGTCAGGCAGGGTTTTATTAAAAGAGCTAATCGTGCCAACACGTTTTCTAGTCGATTCGACCAGATCGACTATGTATTCGTAGTTGTCGACGTTTGAACGTTTGAACGTTTGAAATCGACCACGTTTGAAACGGCTTTAGGATTTTGAATATTCCTAATTAAGTGTAACATGTTAATCAATACTTTTCTTCCAGATTATGGAATCCAAGAGCAAACCAGTAACAACGGGGACATTTGCCGCAGGCCTGCTGCCATAGGTGTTTTTGGAACTAGGAGAACGAAAACAAAGTTTTCGACTGACGTTGGATTTTTTGTACAGACTCACTTGGTTTTACATAAATCGGATTCAAAATGCCAGCATTTAAGTGCGTGTACGTGAGAGGAACGTCGACATGGCTGGCCTCATCATTCTGCGGTTCAACAACTGCCTTTGTTCAGAACAGTATTTATTTTTATTTACTGCTTTATTTCATAAAATTTAGGTACGATACACTGAACACAGATCAAAAACAGTCAATCACAGTAACAAAATCTCATTTAACGCTATCGCTCCCTCCATTGTTCCGAGTACGGAAGTGGCGTTACCTCGCTGAATCTCCAGAGACAGCCGTTGACGAAGGAACTCATGGGAGCGAGGTTCACCTGTGTGAAGTTGTAGTCGCTTGCCGATTTCTTTTACCAATATGTTAGCTGACTTTCCCCATGGGCCAAGTGTTTCGAACGCTAGCGGTACGAAAATGTATCTGCCATTCAGATACGCATACAGATGCACTTTCTTGTCCTCGGCTTGCGCGGCAGCGGAACCTGCGGTGACCGACGTGGATTTCCGGTGGGACAAAGCAACAGTGTCCACGCAGGTCACATCCCACGCAAGACACATCCCGCGTTTCCAGGCAAATGTGGTGCATCCATCGGGGCGGCGAGCCGAAGTGTGTGACGTTCCACGGGGCTCCAGCCTTGCTGGGATCCCTGCCGAAACTAACGATCTGCACACAATGCTATCAGGCCGCCGTGGCGTGCGTGTCTCCCAGCAGAAAAAGAACATGATAAGCCGTGGTGGCCATACACGTCAACAGGCTTATTGCACTTAGCACATGGATGAGGCTCACAGATTATTTTTATTAGATCACAATCGATAAACTGTACATGCAAACGGAAAACACTGTACACCTATGGCAAAACAATCTTCTTCAGATTGTTTCCACGCCCAGTCACGTCATCGAGCGGCGGCGACGAGCGAAGCTTCAGACTCATATCCAGAGTCCCCTTTCCCACGTGTGAGAGCGCTTGTCGGTAGAAACCGTCTGTCCAATCTGTGCGCGTCGCGCGTGCTTATCTCTTCAATCTGCGTTGATAGCAGAGTGAGCCAGTACAATGCGGCGCGGTGCCTGCCTGACCAAGAAACCGCCGATAAGCAGACGCTGACTCACTAAAGGATCCGCGTCCAAAGTGCCAACGCCGGCTGACGCGTCAGCCAATCCACTGTCTCGATCACGCCCCTTCCCACCTCAGGTTCGCACGCTGGCCGTCTTCCACAGACATCGTTCGCTGAATTGGTGGTCCATATGTATTGGGCAAATCATTCGGCAAACTTTCGTCTACGTAGCTGTTTGTCGTTGCCATTTAAATCTGTCAGTTTTAACTTCGACGCAGAACTTAGAAGAAGAAGTGCAGCTAGATCTCTAATCGTTGTTCATTTCTTTCAATAATATTACCGCCTGTCAAGCATTTGGCGCGTGGTGAAGTTTTGCATTTGCTTTCTTCAAGGAGCTTGATACTAGGTACGTACCGACGTACGTATAGTTGTTGATCACACACTGATTTGCCGATACTTCCCCGTGTTCGTAGAGCTTTTGATTTTCGAAAGTACATATTTAAGCGGTTTTACCGCAATGTTTGTGGGAACGTACTCTTCTGGTAATTTGCCACGCAAGCCTCTGTAAACAGTGTTTAATCAGCAACACTACTCAAACGTTCTGCTAGTCTAAAACAGTTTATCAGTTTATCGCAGTCGAAAGCTCGGTTGTCTACTTAGATGACCGAGCTTCGTTCGGTTTCATAGAATTCTAGAGCAATTGATTTTTCGTCCGTTTCTTACATTTCCGTAAGCTTTCTTGGGTTTCCAAGAAAGCTTGTTGTTGCACAAGCGTAAAGTAGTAAGGACAACGGAGCAATGTCAAAAGCAAGCAACATACAGCACTAATGGCTTGACTGGTTGTAGTGAACCTGATCATGGACAGTGCGGGGAAACGCAAAGCGGACGACGCTGGTGGCAGTACTCCCAGGAACACCCGCGTCAAACCCGATTACGGGCGTGACGTCAGCGCGAGCGTCAGCGGAAAGCGGCGCGCCGGAATGGAGTGTTCCGTCGCATCTGGTGGCCGTTGTCACATGCAAGTTTGTGGTGTACAGTCGCTGGTCGGCGGTGGAGGCGTATCTGCATCTGTAGATAAAATTTTATTACGGTAACTAGCAGACTCCGCGCAAATTGCGCGGAAGAAGTTAAACGAATTACAAATAAATCACCTTATTTACGTAATTCAAACTTCCTAAAGGCTTTTTTCTTGGTTATTTCTGAGTGTATTCTGGAATATGAATATTCCGGAATGAGTAAGCTTGTTTTTCCAATAAATTTGACGTTAATTTCGGCTTAAAGGAAGCAGCCCGTTACATAGCTCTGAATTCGCTTACATCCACGGGAACTTTCGCTTTCGCGCGCTTCCAAACACCATTTTGTATTGCTTTTAACATTGGGTAGTCAAACGATTTGTAAACATAGGCGTAAAATCCGTTTTCGTGCTCACCTTCGGGTTGCAGAATTATTACGGCACAAAATGTTAAATGCACTACAGCGCGATTCAAGAATACGTAACGTTCTTTGCACACGATTTATCACCCTAGTCCCTTGTTGTAACATTTAACGCTTGCGCGACAAAAATTAGTACCGCATACATAGCTGAAGCCCAACCGCTCTTTATAAAAATAAATTTAAACATATTTGCATTGTCTTTTATAGTGTCGGCCTGCCGACTCCCAATCCCTTGTAATTAAACTTAGTCAAGTAACAAACAGTTAACCGCTCCCACCCTTTCCTGTTCCGTAAACTTAAATCGCGCGTACCGGAAACAGCATCGATCCCAGTTTTACGTAAACTGCATTTGAAAATTATACCATATATTTAAAGTTGCCCGTTGTACAGCAGCATGTTTTGGTTAGACCTCAAAATACATTCGTTTTGAATGCCTTTGATGTAAGCGTAGAAATTCCTTTTTTCTTATAATTTTTATTCGTAATTTTTTCCTTGAAATTGGATGTTTCGCTTGCTGCTCCGCGAGCTCCGCTCGCGCCGCAGCTCGGCGTCGCCTGCAGCTCCGCCTTCGGTTAATATTCAGCGATACTTAACTGTGCTTTGTAAATCTTTAACTGTTACTAAAACTAAATTAATGAAGTCAACGAATTATAAGCAACGATAAGAATGGAAAGTGGCAGAGGCAAAACTTCGTTCGCCCTCACCCTTTCCTATGCAGCAGCCAATACAGTAAGTACTTGCACTTCAACAGTAAATATTGTCCTACCCCATGGACGGGCTGATACGTTAAACCAAACATACCGCTCCTGAGGGCAGTTACTTAACCACCAACTGGTTTCGGAGTTATTCCCGATTTTCCTGATTGGCTGTTGCATTCCCCGTAGACTTTGTATAGTAAGGTTTCCCAGAGTTTTCCTTAAAACGTATCCTTTTTCTCAAATCAAACTGATTTTGTAAAAACCTACTAAATTAGGGCTATCGAATAATACATAGAGCTTAAAGATTGATCCAGTGTATCGGTCGGGATGGATGCGCAGACACGCTGACCACACCTCCTCTTAATCTTTTATTATAAAGGAAGAATAATAGCTGATGGCTTAAATGATGGTGGAAGAAAACGGACCTTATATAAACACAAGATGGCGTCGGTTACGTCAGAAACTGGAGTTGGGAGCTGGACTTTCTAGTTACAATTCCCGGTTGTACTTTGTACTTGCAGCTCCCAACTGCAGCATATGATTCAGCACAACTGCAGCATATGATTACTCCATATGTATACTGTATAGCGTACACTACCTAATTTACTCACTTACTGATATTCACACACACAAGTTGTTTACATTCTTTTACCGCGTGGAGCGGCACTAGCATATATTAGCGCCACTGGCTCGTCAGCGATGGTGCTGCATACTATGCGCGTCTCTTAATTATTGAAAACACTTGTAGTAATGCTGTGCACTTGTAATATACATAATTATTTGCCAACTTACCGAGTAGTTTAATTGCTTATCTGGATTGTGCACGACTGGGATATAATTGTGAAACTCGACATGTGCCCAGTGTACTGTATGGATACTACTGTACACTGCACAGTTATATTGATTCACTTTCACTGTGTGATTCAACAAGTTGTTTACATTCTTTTACACTATGGAGGAGCACAGCAACGCATCTGGCTCGTCAAAGCCTTTCAACGTACAGTAAGTAAAATATAATTGCTTTTTAGTGGATATTACTATTTCCTCTATTCTCAGCTTATTTATACATAAATAATCATAAAAACTAACAGGTACAATGGAAGATTATTTTCTTTATTACTGTACATTATGACTGTACTGTGTAATCAGTTTTGACAGTTATTTGCAGGCTGGTGGTCTATTGCGTGCATGCTTATGCGTGCGTGCAGATCAACTGGAAAAAGTCCGCCAGGGTCGCTGCAAATTTTTTTCCACTGGAGCCAAAGGTGCATTTCTATTAACGATTACTCCGCTAATTGCAGAATTTATGAATTTCTTGTACACGAAGTAAGTGAAGCTAATGTTTTTAGTTCATATTGTGTTGTAACACATGGTATATTTTTTATGTGTACATAGTTTCGGGGATGCTACAAGCAACGATGGCTCGAGTGGAAAAAGTTGGCCTGAACTTCTCAAAGAATTTTTCCACCTTGTCGAAGGTATGGCGTAATTTGCTGATTTCGCAGTTTTTACATTACATAAATTATTATTATATGCTTGTATGTTAGCTCAATGCTTTTATAACAAAAAATACATTTCGTAATGAACCCTAATTATCATAATTAATGATCAAGGTACTGTACAGTATTGCACTGTATATTAGTATGTACCATGTAGCTTTTTTTGTACTGCTTTTAATTTGCTGCATTTAGTTTCCTAATAACAAGCGCAATCTGTTTTCAGCAGTTTGAAGAGTACTAGCATCTTTTGCACCTAATAAATTAATTTTTCCAGAATGGAAAATCATCGCCGTATAACCTTGAAGCCGGACTCGCATGGCCGGAAATATTTCAGGTTCAAACATGGCATCAGCTTTTGCTCTTATTGAGTGTACAATTTTCTAAACTAAGAAATTTCCAAAATTAAAAGTGGCGACAATGTTAACAATTCGTGGATTCTTTAACGATGCTTTTGATAGCCATATTTTTGCAGTTTCCGGTAATAGTGATCCAATAACGCGAGAGCATCACTGATGGACTTTGCACCATTAACTGTGATCTTGCCGTTGCGGTACCCGGCAGTGCGATTTGTAAGGACGAATGGAACGGAGAAGAAGCCCGGAAAATTTATGTGGTGCATAATGAGAAAGCGGAGCGCGTTCGGATAAGCTGGGTAAGTCAATTGCGCAGCCAAGGTCAGCAGTTGCAACAACGTTAGTTATTTTCGCCATTCAGCCAATTTGCAAATGTCTCCGCTTTTGAAAGCGTTGTTTGTGGTAATGAAGTAAGCTCCTTAAACTTCGGGCACCCAATGTCTTCAAGATTAAACACTTCAGGCAAATAATTTTCCAAAATCTTTGCTTTTCCAATCCTTTGGCAAAAAAACGTCAAACGCGCAGGTCGTTCACCAATAAGCTCCAGCATATCCTGAATGGCACTAGCGATGTCTAAGTATAAATAATCTCCACGATTATGCCAGACAAGTCCGTGCGAGTGACGCGATTGGCTCCTAAATTCAACGCGGTAATGATTAAAGTGGATGGAATGGTGAATGTAGCACCTGCTAACACCAGTTGGGCAATCACAAAATGCCAGCTGTTTTATAAGCCGTTGGGAGCCAGCGATAAACCAATCAATATCCAAGACAACCCTCCGCTTTGAAGTCTCCATACTGTTATCGGTACGCTAGCAATAGCTCCGCCCTTTGGAAATGGATTCCTTAAATAGGTATCCGCGCACGACAGCTGACTTGAGATTCCGACTACCCGCTTCGGTCCTTGTTGTGGGGCCAACGACTTCGGGGAAAACGACGTATGTTTCAAAATTAATTATGGAGCGCGATAAATTATTTGACCAACCATTTGGAAGAATTATTTTGGTGTACGGAGAAATGCAGCCAGCCTACGAAATGCTTCAGCGCAAAGTCCCTGGGATTGAACTGACAAAAAATATTCAACAAATTGTGGAGGATGAAAATTATTTTGATGGTAAACAAAATATTTTGTTGATACTGGATGACGTGGCAAGCGGTTTGGTGAAAATGGCATTTATCTAAACTCTTCACTCAAAAAGTACACCATAAACGGCTTTGTGTATTTTTATTATTCAATAACCTATATAAACAAGGGTCTGCTATGCGAGACGTGCATCTTAATGCGCAATATCTTATTCTGTTCAAAAATCATCGTGATGTGAACCAAATCAAGATTTTAGAAAGGCAGACTGGTTTAAAACATCTTAGCGAAGCTTACGAAGAAATCGGTCAGGAACCATTTCAACCTCTCATTTTGGATATGAAACCGGACACACCTGCCTATTTAAGGATTCGTTCAGCAATATTACCGGGAGAGTTGACTAAAATTTACATCAATCCACAAACGACAAACTTGCCCAAGAATGTGTGATCAGATTTTAAAAGACTTTGCACCGTTTCTTCTTACCCTGCGATCGCTGAAACCCAAGCAGCGTCGTTTTCTTTTGGAAAATATTTCGAAACGACAACTTCGCTGTTTTGAAGAAATTTGTTTGAATTTGGTGAAGAATTCAGTGCCTCTTACCACCGATCAGCTAAAGGTGTGTCAGCGTTGGCGTCGACCATTAAAGCTGATTGCCCTCAAAAAATATCTTTACGAAGCAAGAGGGAATTTTATTACAGCGCGGAGGTTCACCTGCGGTTCTACCTGTATTGGCAGCTGTTTTGGGAACTGCTTTACTGAAATGAAACCGGAAGTGCATTATATTGTTCCCGCGAGCGAAATGAAAAGACTTGCAAGTGACACGGTTGGTCGTATCGTAACGGATGTCCAATTACAACAGCAGCCTACTGAAGTTGTTGATATTGTAAAACTGGACGATTTGATGAGAGATGTAATTTCACGGAATACGCTAAGCGAATGGGAGAAAGCGGAACTGTTATCAAGAAATTTGGCTCGGTTTTTGGCGCTGAAAGAGTCGGCGTTTGGCCCTGACCAAATGGTTATTCCGCCTCCAGCATCTGTGCCCCCATTCCAGTACAACTATTAAAGAAGCCGTGGGTACCCCTAATATGCCTGATCGTATGTTAGACGCTTTCCTCCTATTCCACCTGCACCCCGGCAAAACGCAAGCGTGCAAAGCGAGAAGTATTTGATGAAACACTTGCAAGTCGAAGGTCCCATCGGTTCAAGAACCAAATCCCAGTTCAACTGGATGACTATTAATAACAAATGAGTGGTGGATGCGTTCCCTTTTCTTTGTCTTTGGGTGAAGGTATGACATGGAACTGCACATCTAGCTGTTGCGATGGATCAAGCAGTAGCGACGACGAACACGATGGCCAATCTACTGCTACGACAAGCGTATCTGAACCCTCAGCACCCGGGCAGCTTAACGGGGATTCAAAAGTTTCGCAGCCACTTTCCACAAGCACCAAACTATCAACAAACGCGGGAACAGCTGGAGCATCTGGATCCATATACAGTCCACAAATCTCGACGCAAAAAATTCAAAAGAAACCCCGTAGTTGTCTCAAACCTACTGGAGCAATATCAAGCCGATCTGGCAGACATGTCAAAATATGCGAAGCAGAACAAAGGATACCGTTGGATATTGTTTGTGATCGACGTCTTCAGCAAGAAAGTAAGCTGTCAACTACTAAAGAATAAAAGCGGTCCTGAAGTAAAACTTGGATTGGAAAAGGTGTTTGCAGAACTCGGAGCTCCAATTAAATTACAAACTGACAAAGGTCTTGAATTTTACAAAAATTTAAGAATTTTTGACGGCCAAAAAAAGTTTTCCTGTTCTCTTCTGAAAATAAAGCAATCAAAGCATCCTTAGCTGAAAATGGCATACGCAATCTCAAGAAACGCATATGGAAATTATTTCGACACCGACAGTCAAAAGTGTACTGGGACGTTCTGGGAGATTTGGTAAACAGTTACAACAGCGCAATTCATTCCTCGCATAAAGTCACGCCTAATGAGGTTACCCAGTCCAATTCTCTGCGAATATTCAATCGACTATATGCAGAATTATTATTGGGAAAACAGAAAACGCCAAAGTACAGCGTAGGTGACACAGTACGAGTAGCCATCGACAAAACACTTTTTGAAAAAGGATATGAGTCAACATTTAAGGAGGAAATTTACAAGATACACCAAGTATTACCACAACAGCCAGAGCCCCTCTACGTATTAGTGGATGAAGACGGAGACTTAATTCGTGGGAAATATTACGAAGCCGAACTCAGTCGCGTCAGAAATGGCACATAATAGCTTTTATGTCACGCTTCCATCTGATGCCTGTATGCAGCAGTTCCCAAAGAATAATGCAGCTGAATGGACAACAAAGTTAAAGAGCGTGATATCCCTACCAGGACAATGGGAAATGGCATTGGTGGAAATACAGTATCCTAATTCAATGTACAATTTACCCAGTCCCCAAACCCTGCACGTAGACCAAATTACTTCTATGGATAGCAACGGTGTTTTCGCTATGGAGCGGGATACAATTACGGTACCTGCAGGAATCTATGAGAAAAGTGACATCATTAATTTTATCAACGGTAAAGTACCACGGTTAAAGCCATTTCGCGATTCTGCAGCGGAAAACAGGCGGCTTTCCAACTAGAATTAGTAGCAACCGAGCCCAAGCTCAAAGTGAAATTTCCCAGCGTACGTGTTTTTCTGGATTTTCCTCCCTCATCTTTGCATCTATCCCGTATGCTTGGATTTAAAGAACGACGATTTTCTGCTGCACAGTCTGAACAATATGAGAATTTTTTGATGGAAAAAACGAATTTTGCTTCCGCAGCTACAACACTGTCCGACCAGCTGAAAGCCTTGGCAGAGTTGCAGCTGTTGGAGACGTCTATAACAATGACAGCAGATAAGCCCGTAAATATGCACATTGGGAACCAATCAATTTTTGTCTACTGCAACAAGTGCGACTACAATATTGTGGGCGATGAAACTATGCAGCTTTTGCGCGCTTTCCCCATTAAAGCAAGTGTTCCTCGCTTCGAAATTGTTTCGGAAAGGTTTGAGGATCCACATTATCTACCTGTTTTATACGATCGACTGGACACTATTGATATCAACATTGCAACTGATCTCGGAGAAGCGGCAATTTTTCAGACTGGAAAGTCAATGGTAAAGCTACATTTTCGGCCCATCCAGTATAACTATCGCTAAAAAATGCCAGTAATCCTCTTTGAGCCGTCACCATCGTTCTATCTGGATTTATTTTCGGGGGCCGCCACGGGTGCTGGTAGCCAGCATGGCTATGGAACCGTCATGACACGCTATCGCGGGAGTTTAATCCAAAATGGCAGTGGATTTATGCTGCCCAATTTTCTGCGCGCAATGTTTAGTAAGTTAGCGCATTTTGCTGCCCCGGTTATTAAAGCAGCGGCACCACATGCCAGAGCAGCAATGGAAGCAGCAAAGCCTCACTTACGCGACGCAGCGACAACAGTTCTTAGTGAGACATCCAGGAAGGTAGGAGAGAAAATTTCGGAAGCGTTAACTGCGCAACCTCAACAGCAAGGAGGCATTAAACGGCTCAAGCAGCAGCACAAGAGGACAAAGAAGATAAAGAAACCTTGTTTCCGACTTAAACGGCTTAAACGGATTCCTCCAAGAGAATTTGAGGACGCATTTTAAAATGGCTTTTATTCCGGAAGGAAGTGTACCAGCTATGCAGGTCGAGTCGGATTTATTCTCCGTTCCGGCCACTCTAGCGGATTTTGTGCGGACAGAGGAAGAACGCATTTTACCGACCTCTGGCCAAACAGAAGAAATTAGTTCTGGGGAAATTTCTTTTTACATTCCCCATCAACGTCGGCGCTGCTAGTGCTACCGGAAATTACGCTAGAAATGGATATTGCAATCAAAAAGCAAATTGCAGGACTTGGTGCGGCTACGCATGTTGAAAACACGGATCTGGTAGCACCAGTGAACTTGATAGCGCATTCTATATTCAGCTCGGTAGAGGTAACAATGGCCAACCGCCTGATAACTAATTCGACCCCATTGTATGCCTACCGAGCTTACTTGGAAAATTTGTTGGGTTACACACCGGCTGCCCTAAAAAGCCAGGCAACAAGTGCTGGATTTTATATAGACACCCCCGGGTACCTAGAAGATCATGCCAATAACGCTGGAGAAGTAACGCGGAAAGCCATGTTTGTGACCAACGAGTACGTCCCATTCAGCGCCAAATTATGTACGGACATTTTTCAGCAGGGAAAAAATTTAATCAAAGGTGTACCGCTACATGTGCGCCTCATTTTGAATAAGCCGGAATTCTACCTGCGGTCATATGCCAATCTTCCAGTGGATACTTTTAAAGCATACATTCGCAATCCGCGGCTGTACGTCAAACGCTTCGTGCCCAATCCGGCATATTTGTCTGCGCTTACTGCCCAATTATCAACAAAAACTGTGAAATACCCTATTGAGCGAGTGTGTATGCGTGTTAATGATATTGGAACGATTCAGAGCACGGTGCTGGCTAATTTACATATTGGAGCAGTACCCAAATGTGTTTTTGTGGGATTTGTGAAAAGCTCGAGTTTTCACGGGCTGCGCCGAGGTAATCCATTTAACTTTGAACATTTCAACCTCAACTATATAAGTGTCGAAGTCGACGGACAATCGTACCCCGCACAAGCCTACCGACCAAATTTCGCCACGGGTGATTATTTGCAATCATATGACGGTCTGTTGGAGACGCTTGGCCGCTTGCACGCACCGGACGAGGCGCTGCCTTTCGACCGTAAAGCATTTGCGGAAGGATTTGCTATTTGGGGATTCGATCTGACACCTTCACGGACAGGCCGGGGACCGATGAGCACCGTGCGCCAGGGAAATCTATCAATCCGCCTGCAGTTCGCCGCCCAATTAACTGAACCAATTATGGCCATTACGATGATGGTGTGGGATAATATTATTGAAGTCAATTCACATCGCCAGCTCATTGCGGATTTTACGGCGTAAAAACCTAACGTAAGTGTTTGTAAGCCTTAAAAAATATCGTGTTGTTGCCTGCGCGGTAAGCTTCAGGGTCGCCAGCGGGGGTGGGCGCGCCGTCGGCCCCTATTGACGCTGAAGTGAATCGTTACGGAAATGGTAAACAATGGGCGACCGGAGCGCTTCGCGCTCTCGGTCGCCCGTTGTTTACAGGACAAAGTTTAAAAAAAAAATTTAAAATTTTATTTTTAATGCAGATTGGCACTACAATGGACACTGCTGAGATTGATTACGTGCTACGTTCAAGTACCGTGACGAGAGACGCTTTCATTGGTGTATTCGCTGCGGATATGCTACCATCGTCGCTGCCAGCCAAGCTACCATGGGCATGCGTTGTCAATACTGACGAAGCTGCGAAACCTGGCTCGCATTGGCTGGCGTTCTACCAGGCTACACCAGGACAGCTGGAATATTTTGACTCTTACGGTCATGAACCGCATTACTACGGTCACCACATTGAAACTTTTTGCAAGAACGCGGGCATAGTTATTTCACAAGCGCATCGTTTACAAATGGAATGGAGTACCGTTTGTGGACAGTACTGCTGCTTTTTTATTCTAAAACGATGCTCCGGCGAGTCATTCACTTCTCTTATTCATTTATTTACCAATAGCAAAGCTTCGAATGATCGAATGGTTTGTGCTTATGTTAATTATTATTTTAATTTAAAAACTGTTGTCCGTGATAACTCTTTGCTTATTCAGTCTGTTTTCCGCCAGATAATGCAATAAAGTCACGTCATCAACGCCAGATTTTTCACGTACTGTTTGTATATGATTAAAAATAATTTGTTGTGCACCAAAATATTTTGCGGTCCAGCGTGACTTCGCGCTGCATCTGTTTTGATGCACATAAAATACCCCAGTCAGTGGACAATTTTCAGATGCAACACAGTTTTCATCTCATTACGCAGCGGAAATTAACGATTTCTAAAGCTGTTCTGTTCAAAAATGGTTTACCATATTGTTGTAGACATTAAGTGGTATGCGCTTAATGGGAAGCCAATTATTACGTCACTTGCAATAAGTTCTGTCGAATTTTATTGCCTTTATTATACCACATTTGCGCTAGCGCCAAGCAATTACATTGTAAATAAATATGGCGTTTGTTCTTCGGATATTGATGCTGTGTTCGATAAAGCTTTCAGAGTTAGAACAGCAGATAAGTCGAGCGTTTAAAAATTATCTTCGCTACGTTGACGATCCTGCCGATGTCGTTTTCTATGCAAAAGGGGGGCAAAAGTGTCTTATTCTTCAAGAACTGATTAAATCTGATGTCATTAATCTTGATACACTGGGCTGTCCGCGTTTTGCCGATCTATGCAACGACAAGTGTTACAGTCCTAATAAAGCTCAAGCTTACTCTAACTGGATGCTGGACACCATTTAAAAAGTCGTACGAAATGCCTGCTTTGCCGTATGCCGATTCCAGAAGAAAAGGTCACGTTCGACAGCAACGACGCTGCCGCAGATCAAGACCAGATAAGAATTCTTACTGGGGTATGCGCAAATATATTTCGCTCTTTTACAAAGATTTCGAAGGGGTCTATGTTATTGCAGATGACCGAGGTAACAGACGCTGCATCCGCTGTGGTGCTGTATTTCCCACCGATACCGATTGCAGTGAAGAAAGTACTCACGCGGATATTAGCACGCCAAGAATTTCTAGTGCATGAATCAGTGTAAACTGCTTAACTAACTGTACCCCGTTACAAAATGCTGTGCGGGAATTTGTTCTCGTTCAAGTCAGTTATATAAAGTGGCATCTTTGTCGCTAGCAACTTTCTTTGGCCATATTTTGCCTTCATCATGGCGCAAACCCTGACTTATCCGCAGAATTGTTTGACCCCGGCACCAGTGCTGAAACTGACTTTGCTGATAGTGCTCTTTTCAATCATAATTATGCGCTTCTCGATCACAATTATTTTATACCTCCGGCTCCGGTCGATGTGCCAGTACAGAACCTAGAAGAACTTGATCCGGATTTGTATGATATTAAAGATTATTATGAGTTGGAAAAAACGGGAGCTAAATATTCACAGAAATTTTCAGTGTCGTTTGAAACCTATAAATGTGTGATACACGGTCTGGATAATTTTTCATTTAAATACGCGATTAAAACCATAACACTTTTATTGAAAGACATTCTGGATACCGTGATTTCGGCAATTCCAGCCCACAATTTGGTTAGAATTCGCTTGTATCAAAACGCACTGCAATACCCAATTTGGATGCCACCTATCCAACGCGATCAGCTGAGTGTTGAAAGATGGATGACAACGATTCGGAGAATCTTGAATTCAAATCAGGCGTTTTTATTGGATGAATCTTTTGAATTGTCTGTGCAGCATGCGGATATTCCAACTGGGTCGTGCAGAAAAAATGTTTCGAAGCTGTTATGTCAAATACTGGACAAGAACCAATGCATTACACAAATCCGCAACACGGAGTGCTTGTGTATGGCGCGAGCTATTGTGGTCGCTAAGGCGCATGCAGATGGCGATAAAACAATGTATACAAAGCTTTACCGAACGAAGAAGTTGCAGACGGAAAAGACCAAGGAGTTGCTGCAGGCTGCGCAAATGCCAGATAGAGAATTCAGTGTGGAGGATATCCCTCGATTTGAAATCACTTTACCAAATTATCAATTTATTGTAGTCTCGGTGGACCATGGAAACTCAATTGTGTACTGCGGCGCGTACTGTGAAAAACGGATCATGCTGCTGCATCATGATCATCATTTTGACGTGCTAACATCCCTGCCCGCGTATTTTGAACAACAGTATTATTGCTACCGCTGTATGAAGGGCTACAACAAAAGGCAGAACCACAGATGTGAGTTCAAGTGTCATCAGTGTTTATCTGTATCCTGCCCTATGGACAAGCTTCAGAACATCCACTGTCCTGACTGTAATCGCGATTTCCATGGGCAAGAAAGTTTTAACACGCATAAGTCGGGAAGCAGTCCAATCTGCGCAAAGTTCTTTGTTTGTGAATTATGTAAATCGTTTATTTCCATGGTGAATCGTCGAATGAGGACCAATTATGACTTGCCACAAAATTATCCGCTTTACGATGACGGCGACAAGGAAAACGATGATATTGAACTGGATATTGACGACCAACAACATCGGTGTGGTGAAGTTTTTTGCCCAACGTGCTCCTTGTTCTACATGCCCGAAGACAACCATATATGCTACATGCAACCCATTGAGCTCACAGACAGAGAAAAGGCTAAACACCTAAACGATAAGCTAGCGTACTTTGATCTTGAAACGTTTCAAGATGAGGCAGGTGATTTCAAAGTGAATTTAGCGGTCATAGCAACAAAAGACGAGAAATTTGTCCTTCCGGAAGATGGAAATATTAGCGGTGATATTTCAAGTGCTTTGGGGGAATTCATCTTTAGCGAACGCTTTCGTGGGTAGACCTTTATTGCACACAACTTAAAGGTAAACAATGTCAAAACTTCATAAGCAATCATAAGCTTTTGTTGACAAAAAGATACTTTTAGGGATTTGACGGGTATTTTCTGCTAAACTATCTAATCAAGAACGGAATTATTCCACACCCATTGATTTTTAACGGGAGCAAGGTTGTGCAGATGGATATTTCAAAACTTCAAAATAAAATTCCGTGACTCTATGAATTATGTGCCGTCATCGTTAAAAAATTTTGCCAAAGCATTCGGTTTGCAAGAAACCAAAGGAGACTTTCCTCACAAACTTAATCAGCCAGAAAATTGGAACAAAATTCTTCCATGGCCAGATCGACACGATTACGGTTACCAGCTCATGAAAAAGAAAGAACGTAAACGTTTCATAAAGTGGTTCCGTAAAGAGCGACGCCGTCACAACAATCAATTTGACTTTAATGCTCACTTTATTGGGTATGTATAATATGTCATTTACTCCGGCCGCCGTATTTAGTTATTTAGCTCTGTTATAGATATTGTTCGCAAGATGTTCTTGTTCTCCAACAAGCATGTGAGAAGTTTCGAACTCTCTTCCAACAAGTGACGAATGGATTGTGTCCATTTGCTTCAGGCCTTACCACCCCTGGAATGTGTAATTATTTTTGGAGAGCGCGGATGTTAAAGAAAAACCAAATTGCGCTGATTGGCCCCCCTGGACAAGGTAAAAAATCTTCGGCCAAAGGAGATCGTTGGCTCCGATGGATTGAAATGGACAACGATATACAACTCCAGCGCGAGGTCCGAATCGGCCCTTGGACAGTAGATGGTTTCGACCCAAGGAATAAAACCGTTTATGAGTTTCTAGGTAAATTAGATGAACAACGAATTTTAGCAAATACAGAAAGTTTTGATATGATTGTGATTGTTCTTTTAAGGTTGTATGTGGCACGGTTGCAGCGACTGCACGACGAAAAGTACACTGCATCCATTTCTTAATCGCCCCATGGAAGAAATCAACAAAGCGACTGACTCACGCCTTGACGCAATAAAAGCTATGGGTTATGCTCTTGTTTCAATCTGGGAGCACGAATACGATGCGCGCCTAGCAGCAGACATGAAATTCAAACGAGTCATCGAGTTAGCAAAAGTTGAAGAGCCTATGCACCCACGAGATGCATTCACCGGTGGCCGAACAAACGCTATCAAACTGTACCACAAATGTGCGCCAGGCGAAAAATCTATTCCTCGACGTTATTAGCGAGTACCCTTACATCAATAAAATCTGCCTTATCCAGTGGGAGCTCCTGTCATTATCACAAAGGACTTCCCGCCTGTGGAAAGCATATTCGAGTGATGAAATGCCGTATCATTCCACCACCGTCATTATTTTCTCCCTGTACTGCCGTACAGAACCGACAAGCTTACATTTCCGTTATGTGCCAAATGCGTACAGGAGCGCGTGAACACACCGTGCTGCCATGAAGATGATGACAGGGCTTTGGAAGGAACGTGGTGTACACCAGAAATTCACCGCGCGATAGAAGCTGGCTACCGCATTGAAAAGATTTACTCTGTTTGGCATTATCCAGAGCAGATGCAATATTTATTCAGAGAATACATAGATCTGTTTTTGAAGCTTAAAACAGAGGCATCAGGCTATCCACCGAACTGTCGAACAGAGGAAGACAAAGACAGATATATTGAAGAGTTTCTTATTAAAGAAAATATTTTATTGGATAAAAACAACATTGCGAAGATGGGCTAAGAGCGTTGTCCAAACTTATGCTGAATAGTTTTTGGTAAAGAGTATTAATTCGATTGGCAAGATTCACTTTTAATTCTGATTCTTTTTACAGGGGTAAATTCGGCCAGCAGGAAGACAGATCCAACACCGCTTTTGTTGAAAAGAAAGAGATTTTCCATGATTATTTGTTTTCCAATAAATACGAAGTTGCCGGATTCGACTTGGTGACTGATGAAGTAATGGCGGTTCAATACCGTTCTAAAAAAGATTACATCCCAACGAGCAAAAAGACAAATGTTGTCATTGCGGCATTCACAACAGCATATGCGCGGTTGCACTTGTTGAAGTTTATGGAAATGGTTGGAGACCGCTTGTTATATCATGATACTGGCAAGTACAGATTTTCAAGAAACTGTCTTTCATATTGTAATTCTATCTGTGCATTTTGCAGACAGTATCTTTTATATTCACACTGATGATTTGCCTGATCCGCCAGTGGGGACATGTTTAGGAGATTTGTCATCGTCCTTGGAGCCTAATGAGCACATCAATGAATTTGTTGCACTCGGTACATTCGGATTTACGTTAAGCTGTTTTACGGTACAGCTTATAAATATTTATACTTCATTCTTTTCAGGGCCTAAAAGCTACGCGTACCGCACCAACACTGGCAATGAGACGATAAAGGTCAAGGGCTTTACCTTAACAAGGAAAGCCAGGAAACAGTTGAACCTCGAAAGCCTGAAGGAAATGCTGTTCGAAAGCCTGGCACCGCAAGACCAGCCAAATGATATTACCGTGAACTATCCGTTTAACATTACGCGGAATAAGCGTAAATCGGAGGTTTCCGCAAAAGAAATAAATAAACGGTTTCGACTTACATATTCAAAGCGTCGAATTGTCGACACGGAATTTAACACTCGACCATGGGGTGACGTTTCCATTGATTAAATCTTCAACTGCCAGTGCTGAGCAGTTGTTGATACCGGTTTTCATATTATGACTTACTCCGAAAAAGGCCTCGAGCAATATTATTAAAATTAACATTAGAATAATGCATGATCCCATAACTGCTTCGCAAAAGTTCTTTTTACACACTATGCGTGCCATTTTGATAGTATATTTTCTTGCTTACGTATGGTGATTTATTATGATTTGGCGCCTTTAATACTTACTTTAAACTGAAAACACAATCCAGACAACCCATTATATAATACAACCAAAAAATTAAAATTTTGTGTAATGATAATATTATCGAGTTGTGTGCGGATGTTAGTACTGCATACATGTAGCGTGTTTCATACAGTATGAAATATATACAGTGTACAGTTGTGATGATTCATGTGTGGGAGTTGGGAACTGTAGTTATAAAGTGCAACCGGATATTACAGTTGACAGGTGCAGCTCCCAACTCCAGTTTATGACGTAAGCCGTCGCCATCTTGTGTTTATATAAGGTCCGTTTTCT